CGTGACAGTTGATTCAGTGTTCGCTGTTGACAATGAAGCATCCTCCGGTGTCGTGGTAGTTATTTCTACAGATAAAGTCGTTCCTTCGGTTGTCTTTTCAATATCATCCGGTAAAGTAGTAGAATCAGTTGATTCATTAAGCGTTCGTATTAATGCATTGTATAATAAAGGTTCTGCAAATTTAGCTCTTATTTGTTTGGGTTTTGTTGAAAATGCGGTTCGCTCGCTATTTAATATTATATTATCGCCCGTTATAATTGATCCACAGTGGTTACTTGATAACACGCACATTTGAAAATCTTGATTCCAATATAGTGATTCAACACATTTAACACGATACGGTATGCCTTCAATGCAATTAATGTAATATCGGCAATCAATAGGATCCGCTAAATACCTGGCATCTTCTGAACACGTTACATGTTCAGAAATTTGAGCTAATGTATTCATTTCATTGGGTGACACCGCATTTCCCTGACAACTTTTAACAAATAGAAACGCGAAAATGATTTGGATGAGTCGAGGAATCATTTTTCGAGCTTGATAATTCCCAACTTGTACAAGTTACGTTGAAAACTAATCAAAAATTCAATCACTCAATTTAATATACTTTTATTTCTTCTTCTTCTAATCTTTTTTTGATTTCTTATCACTACAATTTAGATAAGAATTGCTACGTTCCTAAGTTGCTTATCTAACGTTGCAATAAATGAATTAATTATATTAAAGAATGATTTCATATTTGCAGACATAATATTTGCAAAAGGTGGAAAACACAAAAATTTAGTCCATATCTTAATGTAATTATAAAGAGATACTACAGTTTTTTATTACTCGGAACGCATATTAGGAATGACAAGTGGGTAATTTCTATATTGATGATTGGGTAACTAATAATTGCAGCTAGCAGTTAATTTGTATAAATGCATTTGAATTTAACTTATATTGTAGTCACAATGTAAAGGAGTAAATAGATCAAGAGTGTTAAATATGCTAACTTTCGACCCGTTTAACTAATAAATGCATAAATGCAATTTTATCTTAAGAAACGAATCAATTATAAGTATTTCATTAGAAAATCTAACTCAAGCTTTTTTATCATTTCTTATGCATTATCTCGAGTGCCGCTATTTGCAGAAATTTTTCAATGAATTAAGATATATATAGATTACATTTATCATTGCGAAAGCCCCTGTTAAATCTTTTTTTAATACATACGTCACATTTCTTGATTTTTACCAGATCAAACGCGCCTGCACCTATGCATCGAAAACAGCGCAACAAGTTCTGGTTCTCTATTCTCTTAACGAGATTTCTCAATTCTAGACCGCCAATCGCCTTCACCAAAGATATATAAGTTTCAAATCTTTTTTATAAATTGAAACAAATTTTTCACAGACCAGAATAGACGTTTACACGCAAATTTCAATTGAAATTATTGATAACATTCCTGAATTTTGGTGTTTTTGACTAAAACTACCTGAAACATACAATAAAAAATGCCATTAATTTACGAGGAATCATAAATTTGTAAAATCGTTAAAACAGTAAAAATTGCACTTGATATATCTGTATTTAAATGTAATGATTTCACCCTTGAATTTTTCAGTTTCATAGTATCGTCCCTAGTCTTAATATTATGACTATCATGCATTATTAAAGGAAGATCAGTTCTTGATTATTCACTCAGAACGAAACATACCTTAATAAGGATTAGAGTTGGCATGCCCTAGTGGGCGAACCGATAAAAAACATACAATAAGAAATATCATCATTATCATTAAACGCTCTCCACCGTTGCGCCTAATAGAGTTCTTCGCTATTTTCGTGCTGGAAATGCAAGAGCAAGACGATGATATATTTAATCAAAATTAATTAGCCGACCTGCGTTCGTAAACAAATGAAACTATTACATTTGGGGCTTTGAAAATCCAACAGAAATATTCGAACAATATCTACAACCATGGCAAGCAACTGTTTTGTTCAGTTTTGTGCTGGCGGCATAATTGGGCTATAGCTTTTTAAAAAAGCTACTAATTCAACTGAGCAATGTTGATTATTTTTTTTTTAATTATATTGAACGTATATGACATAGATGGCATTTGTTTTCAACAAGACGGTTCCATCTACCATACAACTCGTAACAACTGTTTGTTTTAAAATGACACTTCTTATTGAACTATCCTATATATGAACGCAAAAAAGTGAGAAGTTGCTACGAAGCGACGACAATTAACTTGATATAGGCGAATGGGATTAACCAATTTAAGTACTGTCCCCAGTATACTTATTATTTTTTCGTCACACTTTTTTTGAAGTCATATTAAGGTTCTTGCACTAAGACACAAATGGATTATTTAAATGGTTTAAAAAAGATATGCTTAAAAATTAAGAAGAAATTTATCATTATTCTTAGTCCAGGAGGATAATGTGAAATGCAAAAAAAGGCCACAAAGACTTCAGAACATTCATAGGATGGGCGCGAGAGATCGAAAAAATTAAAATAAATTGGAAACCTATCTTTCCAAATTAATTGCTAGCCATATATTCAATGAAAAGATGAACACGATCCATCTAAAAATATGTTTGTGGTAGTTAGAGAATAAAAAAAAAAAAAAAAAAAAATAACATAAGAGATATCGATCGAAAGTTTGATACAAACAACTGACGGGGTTATGTAACAATTTTGCGCAATTGACTGCCTGATATAGGCATAATTAAAAAGAAGTTTTTCGAGTTATATATTCTTATTCAATTTAACGGTCATCACCCTGGGACGTAGTCGTACTTTCAGTTATATTAGATGCAAAAATTTCTGCTAACAAACGCAGTAATAAAGAAAGTAAAACCTTTCATAACTTGGTTCTTTTTAAAAAAACTTCAACCCTCATCCCTGGCTAATTGAAACTACTTCATAAATTTATAGAAGCTACCATCTGCTATCTATCAAATAAATGTGTATCGATGTGATAGTTTCAGTTTTTCACTTTTTGTACCGCGGAAATTTCAGTCAAACTTAATCTTATAGCTTAACTGGCTCGAAACTTTGACACTAACCCAAAACCCGTATACCTTTGGGTACGGGCACAACTATTTGTTATAAACGCATAGTACATCCATTTTAGAAGTGAGTTTCGTATATTTTTCTTCTTTCATAGAGAGCATATTGTTAATATATGAGGCTCTCCTACCTTGTTTTCGGTTTATTTTCTTCATTAATGTAGCGTGAAAAGTCAATCAAGCACACAAAATTTTTCGTTAGACGTATGCATTAAATATATATATAAACATCTAATGCATTTTTAATGCTAACCATATAAAATCGTTTATGGGCTCACGACAAAAAACAAAAAATCAGTAGTCTTGTAACCAGCAAAGGCCATGAAAGGTCCGTTTGTCCTAAAGTATATTATACATTATTTTTTTCTGTTTTTTTATTTTTTTTTTTTTTTATTATTAACAAAATTTCTTTACAGTAATTAATTTGATCCTATTAACTGTAATTTTGCAAATTGGCAGTCGCTTAACTGATACCGTTAAAGCGGAAGATCCGAATTTTAAAATTATATGTGAAAATGAACCTAGTGGGACATTTCTGCCACATAAGGATGATTGCACACGTTTCATGAGATGCTTTATGGGAAAACCGTTTGAGTTCCGTTGCTTTCATACATATCGTTGGAATCCAACCACACAAAGTTGTGTTCCTGCAAATACCACTGAATGCATGCTATACAGCGAGTATGAGACCGCAAAATTGGAAAAACAACAGCTGGAAGAAACAGCTACGGAAGAAACAACAGCTATACCAAGCGCTATAATGACAACGGAAGATTATAATGATTTAAGTGATCAAAGCTCAACGGAATTAGACAAACCAGAGGATGAAAAAGTTACTGAAACGCAGCGTGAAAATGAGGCAAATATAATAACTAAAGAAACCTCCACGGAGACGGCGCAAACTGATAATAAAACTCAGGAACCATTATCGCTTGATACACGCAAACGCGAAAATCCTTGCGTAAATATGTCGGATGGAACATTTTTACCACATGAAACAGATTGTAAGCATTTTATAAAATGTAGCCGCGGTGAACCGCATGAATTCTATTGTCCGAAAACATTTATGTGGGACCAAAGTAGGTTATCTTGTATTTTTGAAGATCTTGTTCCATGCTTAGTGTACGCTGATTATGATGTACAACTTCTTAAATATGACAAGCCGTTGTTGCCAGGACCAATGTCAGAAACTGACGCTTCGATGCCAATAACGGTTGAAAACCTAACTATACCAGAAACAACAGCAGTTGACCTTGCGCTAGAAGCTACGGTGCCGACACATGCAAGACCAACAACAACAACACCAGAACCAACAACATCAACAACCACATCAACAACACCAGAACCAATAACATCAACACAAACATCAACAACATCAGAACCAACAACGTTAACAACACCAGAACCAACAACATCAACAATAGTAGAACCAACAACATCAACAACACCAGAATCGTCCACATCATCAATACCAGAACAAACGTCGACAACATCAACAATAATGTCAAATATACAAAAACGAACAATATCAAGAGAAACATCAATAGCACCACAAACCACTACGTCGACAGCGACATCAGAAACACCAGAAAGAACAACGTCGACAACAACATCTACAATCTCCGAACCAACCACGACAACAATGCCCGAAGCAACCACATTGACAACATCAACGATACTAGATACAATAACGTCCGAATCAACAACATCAACCACACCAGAAACGACAACATCAACAAGCACATCAACAACACCAGAACCAATAATATCAACAACAACATCAACAACACTAGAACCAACAACATCAACAACACCAGAATCGACAACATCAACAGCAATTTCGACAACATCAACAATAACCTCAAATATACCAAAACAAACAATATCAAGAGAAACATCAATAATACCGGAAACTATTACGTCGACAACGACATCAAAAACACTAGAAAGAACAACGTCGACAACCCCGGAAACAACAATATCCACATTGCCCGAAGCAACCACATCTACGACATCAACAACACCCGAGCCGACAACATCAACAACGCCTGAACCAACAACATCAACAACACCTGAACCAACAACATTATCAATACCCGAACGAGCAACATCAACAACGCCACTAACAACAACGTCGACAACATCAGAAGCAACAAGAATGGCAGAAACAACAACAACAACAACAGAAACAACAGCACCGCAAACACGAGAAACAGCAATATCAACAACATTATCAACATCTTCAGTAATGATACCGACGACAGAATCTACGACAGATATAGACACAGTCTCTGCTAATGTTAATGAAGCGAACGTAAAGGAAGAAAGTGACGAAACTGAAAAAAAAAATTCAACACCAGATACATTTGCGCTGACAATATCTACAAAAGACAATGAATTGATTGCTATGCAACGTTTAATCGAAAATTCTTCGCAAAATGTCATGACCACGCAAATCGTAGATGCCGATGTAGTGAAGTCCATTATAGGGACTCTTCTCTACCTAGCGCGGCAACCACGTGGAACAGATGACCCGAAGGAATTGTACATTATGTATAAACCCGAAATATATAATATATATGCTGATCGTGCATTTGAACCAATCGGAAGTAGCGATAAAACGGTAGCAATACGTACGGAAGCACTTATAGAGGCAAAAATAAATCAAATGCCTAAAGAAAAAGTCTTCTCGAATTTTGTAACTACAACACCACGGTATGTTATGTCAGCTAATGCTGAGGATACTGATTCCAATCGTTCTGTGAATGATGTAGACTTGCCGCAAGAAGATTCTCGATGTAACATAGACCCATTGGCACGATTTCCAGCAAGCCGTTGCTCTCAATTTTATCAGTGCTCTGACGGTTACGCTTTTCTCCTCGACTGTCAACATCATTACAAATTTGATAGCATCTATGGAAAATGTATACCCGATTCCGCTCGACAATGTTGGTGACCTTTTTGGTTGAAATAACTCATTTTGGCACAAGAAATAATTTCCCAATAAAATCAGCGTATAAAGAAAGATATGTGAATGTTTGAAAAATATTTTTTGTATTTACAAAATTTTTAGATCAATGAAATAAAGTTAAATGATATATTATACAGTAAGGAAGCATAATTAACGAAAATGATTAAAACATTCAAAATTTGCGATATGCTGTTTATTAACTGGAATGGAATAAAATTCCACAATATCCGAAGCACAAGCATATTTAAAGTGATCTCATGTACGAACTTAGTCCATTGTGTTTCTTATTCCAGTATGAACTTTGCGCATAAAAATAATATCTAAAACAAATCAATGCTTCTTAAAACTTGGTAGATCAATTAACACGTTAGGCGATTTTTGTTAGAGGAAAGAGATCCTATTCTAATCTTGTGAAGAGTCGATTGAAACATCTCATCCCGTTCACTGTAAATCCGCGGCCAACTGGACAAGGATTGTCCGCATTGCAAATACAAATCATAATTTTCCCCAATCATAAATAAAAAATCTTTATATCCTATCCCGCTTGTGGTACACGGGGTATTAAGTTAATGCGGATTTGTGCAGCACGCAGAAGGGCTTATGATGGCCCCACCTTTTATTGTACCGATCGATTCAGAATCGTAATCTGTATTTATTAATGTAAGCCTCCCTGTCCGTGTGACTTCTGTCCACGTAAATTTGCGTTCAGTCTTCGTGCCACAATTTTCGAAATATTTTGACGAAGACGAACGCTATTGAAAATAGTTCGAATCGATGCACTTTTTCGACCACTCCCCATAGAACGCCGTATTCGGAAGTGTCGTTATATGAAAAAAATTTCAATTTTCAAAAATTCTCGACAAAATCGGTTAAGTAGTAGTACTTCGGCATTCTAAATTGGTATAAAAACGTTGGACCGGCTACAGCTCCCTCTCATATAATAAAAACTGAAGTTCACACCAAAAAAAAAAAAATTATAATTTTCAATACCTTATCAAAATACTAATTTAATATAAAAAAATTAACTGCACCAAATTTGTAACATGTTGGCCTATTTTTTGGATCCTAACCTAATAAGGATTTTCACGAAAATTGATGCTTTGTAGAGCAGGGAAGTCCAAGTTTTAATATATGGTGATGAAAATCGATCCATTATAGTAATTTCATACAAAAATGAAATGTACAAAATTTGTACCATCTACGCCTCTTTTTGAATCTTGCCCTATGTAAGGATTAAAGACTACACTACATTTGGTTGCGTTTTGGGCCCGATTCTCCATAAATACGCATATGAAAAATATGCCTTTATATAGAAAGAAGATATAATTTTTCGTGTTCTAGAATAAAAATAAGAATTGTGTTAGGCAATGGGGTGTAGGGTATTTAATGGTCGGCCTTGAAAGTCATCGGATCGTATTTGGACTCTATACAAGAAAACGGTTTTAACAAGAATATCTGAGAACAATTTAAAAAACCGTGAAAAGAATTCAGTTAAATAAGGGGAACCCTTGGGAATATCGCTAGGCTAAGCGATAAGTTTACCAAAGCGGCTGCTATAATTGCTTTTGATAATTGTTAAAAGTAGGCATACTTCACCGCAATATAAAGGATTTTCATTGAAGGAGAAATGATCGAATTACCATATTTGTATAAAATATATGCTGACATTTCATCCGGACTGCAAAAAAAAAGATACTTTCGCTAATAATTATGATAGTAGACGTTCCTTAAAGCCTGAAATTTATATCCGTAAAATAGTAGTAGCAGTATAGAACGGATATCAGCTGAAGCCTTTTCGAACTTATTGAAAGCAATGCTTCTTTATTTCTTAATTCATTTCAATTCGACTCTAAACCAAACTTCAACTGCTGTCAAGAGATTTGGTTGTATTTAATGTGACCTAGAGGTGCGCATATCACGCCTTATTATAAAAATGATTGAATAAAGGAGAGGAATTTATATAAAAGTAAATAATTTGCACGTTTAAATAATAATGTTTATATGTTATATTGAATGCTTGAAACAAATGAATAAAAATATTACATTTTAGGAGATGTTAAGCAGACAAGAGAATTGAAATCTTCAGGACGTGTTAAGGGCAGGCAACTTTTAATTAAGATAAAAAATTAAGATCGAGAAACCTATTATTAAAACTGATTCTATGTAACAGTATTCACACAATGAGCGATGAGTCTCGCTCACCAGAAATTTCTTTTGGAAACACCTACAGCTAGCTGCAGTGTTTTAGCTTGATTGATAAAATACGAGATAAATTGTAACCGCAAGATCACTGCGACAAATACCTGCGACGTTTACAAATTGCGATTTTTAGACACACTTTCAAGTGAAACGCTTATGCCATAGTAATTAACAAGTTTTCTCTTTTTCTGTTCATTTTTAATTAACAACTTTCATTAAACCTTTATTTTATTGTGTTTTTTTAGATACACTTCCAAGTGGAACGTTTATGGTATAGCAATTAATTCGATTTCCCTTTAGTTAATTAAAATTCGCTCAAGACCATTCGTTAAAGTTTCATTCCGCTGATGATATTCGGGGGGTGCATAAATAATGTGTAACGTTTATTTCAGACTATTGAATAATTATTCAACATTCTCAATAGTAATGCGAAGTAATCGAATAAATTGCAAAAAAGGAAAAATATCGAAATTCAACGCCATCGAATGGTCTTTTTTCGACTCTTTCTCATTCTCTCTCTCTCTCTCTCTCTCTTTCTCTCTATCAAACACACACACACACTCGTGCGCATTCGCACACACCCATTCATAACCGGTAGACGATTGCCAGGAGCGCTAGATTGGGGCGAGCAAGGGTAGATTGACGCACCGGCTCATACCGGAGTTGTGGCCCTAGTTCCTATAGGCATCATGATTACGTGGACTTATATTTAGCACATTGAATAAGCGGCCGTGGCTGTTTTAAATCGTACTTACATAGGTTTAAAATAGAGCAAGAGCCATTCCTTTTGCAAGTGCATCGTAGACGCTGATCACGTGTTCTTTTCTTTTCCGAAATACCATAATGAACAACAGAGGCTATAGATTTATTACACGATACGAAAAACTGGAAGGCGGTAGGAGTGTTCGTCGCAAACATAATGAGAAAACAAGGAAACGAGAAGCGTCAACGTAGGCTATCAAGCTGCTAAATGGCTGCCGTCCCTGTGAAGGGGATATTTAAACGATCGTGTCACAGGGCATAGGGTTAAGAGTATATATGATTTTTAAGAGGTTAAACCCCTAAAGAAACACACACACACACACCGATTTATGAGAGAAAAATATCAAATTCTTACAACATTCATTCATTTTTAGCCTTATCTTGTTTATTATACGTTGATGGGCAAATGTATCGTCCGTAGAGTAAGTCAAGACTAGTACTGAAAAACTAGTGTTATATAAAAAGTTCAAATTTAGTTTCTGAATTATTCTAGAAACAATAACACAAAACGCAATATATCATCATACTTTCACGAATTTAAACTCAAGCAAGTCACTCAACAATTGTTTTTTATAAGATTCTATAGCGTAGTTCTCAGCCATCGATATGTGTAAATATTGTATGCGTATAGGGTGATAGGATACTTCAGTTAGGTAGTAATAAAAACGTTTCTTGATAATGTTGTGAAAGTCATCCAATTAATTAATCTCTGAATAAACAGGGCGTAGGGCCGAGAGTTAATCAAAACCAATATACGATATTTGTTTAGATTTTATATACATTATAATTATATAATTAAGAAGTTGATCAATATCAAGCACGTGACCAAGAATATTTTGCTTCCCGATAACAACAACAGGCGAACGACTAAATAGTTGATTGCGAGACACTTTTCACCTTTGCATGCATGAAAACAAAAAAAAAAATTCTCTAAGCGATCCCTCTTTGATATAGTAGCGAAAGTGTAGACGTAGACGTTTACTCAATTACAATGCGTTTTATTATTGTAATTATGACTTTTATGCAAACATCTACATGTACTCGTATATATTATATACATGCTATAAATTATCTATTATATAAACTTAAAAATAATGTTATCGAAAATAGCAACCATAATAGTAGTAGTTGTTTGATTACTCGAAACAATTGATAACAACATAACAACAACAACGTAAGTCCACTGCGTTTGATTGTAACGTCAATAAAATTGCCTTCAAGTTGATTTCGTTTTATTCATTTAGTTATGACGTCATTGTTTACATTGACGACATTCTTTTCACGTATTGTGTGCAATAAGTGAGGAGAAGGGCGTAAAAATCAATTTAGATCAGAGGTCATAACAAAAATTCAACTTTATTATAACCTACGTCACTAAATGCAAGGCATAACTTCCTTAACGTTTTTTTTTTTTTTTTTTTTAGTCAGATTACAATTTAATAAAATTAAAAAAAAAATAAAAATACTAATAATGTGTTGGGTTGAACAGTTTGTCTAATCAAATTGATTTCTATCGAATATGAAAATTTTAACTGCATGCAATTCTTAATCAATACTCATGGTCTTGTTATTTTTTGATAAACGCGTCTCACCCGATGCCGCTCTTAAGCGAAAATTTCTTACGACATAGGAGCAGTTATGCAATAAGGAGCCGAAGAAAGTGCGTCGCCCGATCCAAATTTTTCACATCAATTGAAAAATACTATTATTTAGCGATTTTTCATGCGGAATATTGGAAGGGTATTATAAAGGTAATGGTCGAAGAGTGGTCCGATCCAAACCATTTTCAATAGGATTTGTCCTTGCAACCAACACACGTCAATATTGAACACGATAATGCATCGCTCGGCATCAGTAGGATAGGCAAGATTAAATAACGAAAGCTGATTCTTCCTTAAGTTCTTCTGGGCGTTACACACATCTGCACAAACTTAATATACCTTGTACCGCAAGGGTTATGGAGCATACACAATTATCGAAAATATTTGCATTTAACTTCAACAAGAATAGATAAAAAAAATACA